CCCATGAAATAACTGCAATTTAAGCAGTTCTTGAACTTCTCACACACACCAAAGAAACTGTCAGATACAATTTAGTAGCACGTCCTGTATAAATGTCATGTTGCACATAAGTTCTGTAAAATGTCATATACAGAATAGTCATAACCTTTACAACAGCGCTTTGTCTAGATGCCATATTTCTGCCATGGTTTTAGAAATCTATGGTGAGATAGTTATCAATGAACCCACATTTCAGAAAAAGTCATGTCTGAGGTGTCTGTACACAAGTAGTTTTCATCCATATCTAACAAGGAATGTACTGAAAACCACATTTATCTATGCAAACATTTTTGCAGTTGTAAGGTTGATAACTCCTAGTTTACTTGTTTGGTCTGAACAAGGGATGTACAATTGATATAATTATTTTAATTGATTAATGGTATTAAAGAAATAGTAGATAATGCGATAAACCAAGGAATGCATGAGGAATATTTGACATGACCAAAGTGTCTGTACATCCTTTGTCTAAACCAATTAAGTTTTAGCATTTTTTCTACTTTGTGTACTTAGTTCACTTCCCAGTTCCAGTTAAACCAGTTTTTAAACATGAGATACCAGACTTGTCTTATAATAGGTTTCTGCAGTATCAATGCACCTTGCAGCCGTGGTGCAAATAAATGAGTACATCCTCCACCTCACACATAATACGAAAAGTAGATTTTATCATGTTTCAGTAAAAACTGCAGTTAACCTGTTGTCTTAATAAATTCAGCATGAAGTACATTCCACCACTACTGACCTCTCTGCTGCTTTCAGTGGTTCTTCATAAAAAAAACTGAAATACTGCCCCCACTCACTAGGTTTATTTTAATCATTGTTAAGCTTCTGTCAATGAAACATCATGTTATTTACGTACATATTTTATCCCAAATCATGATCTTACAAGCCCTAACCCTAACCTAACCCTAACCACGTAGTTTTGTTGCCTAAACCTAAACAAACTGCGACCATCTCACAACATTACCCGTGTGTTTAAGGTCTGAAGATAACTTAAGGTCCGATACAACTGTTGCTGGTACTCTCCACCAGTCATACACTCATTTAGGAGTCATTGGCACTCAAACTATTATGTTGCTTAGGTATGAGGACGTATTGGCCAAAACACATGAAAGTTCCTCTAAGCTGTCCCCACCTCAGCAGCAGTGAATCCCTTCATTAGGTTTTGCTGCTTCCAGTCACATTATTCTTTGAACTGCTAATCATGGAACATGTGCAAATGACAAATATTCCTCTAATGTAGCATTTCTAGCAGGCTTGGTAAACCTGTTGATACTGTACCAAAAGGAAATTCTGTAGATACATGGGTTGCAAAATGTTAGTCTGATTCTCATCATATCAGTGCTTTTAAATATAGTAGATTGCATTTTAGTATAGTGTGTCCAATATATTGCTAATCTTGTTGGGGGGAATAAATCTAAATTACAAAGTGAATATGCTTAACATTTACAATACTTTGTTAGTTATTTACAGCATAATAAATGCAAGCATCATTTGTTTTTCAGAGCTTCTTTGCCCAAATTCCGTAGCTACATTGCTGCCTATATTATTTGAGAGTATAATTTCAAGAATTTTGCACGTTTTGACAAAGCTGTGTCTTAGGGTTAGCACTGACGGCTTCTGCGGACACTTGGTAGGATAGTCCAGTAGTCTCTATAGGGCCTTCAGTTTCCCCAGCTTCAACACTCCTCTGTCTTGGCTTCAAAAAATTGATTCATGATCTATGTTAAAAAAAAAGTGTAAGTTTATATGGCTTTTCAATATGTAACTCAGATTATTCATTTAAGTGTATTCACCAGTTGCTCTGTAACTACATGTCATTATATTGCATACTCATTCTTGTAAGTAGCTAAAGACTTCAAAATCGAATGCTGTATTGTTCAGGCCAACAACCTCGAAAACTATGTTCAATGATAGAATGTGAACTTGAGAGCAAGGTTGTTAATGACTGGCACATAATACGTATTGCATTCAACTCAAGCCATATAAACACATCTCTCATCTGTGTACAATGTCATTCTCTGTAAATGTGGCTCATGTTGTATCGTGACTACTTACTCAATACACTGTGAAAAAATAAAGCAGTGCCTGGAAAAAGTCCAAGTGGTGTTATCAGACTTGATGTTGCCAAACGAAACACATCATTAAAAAATTAAAATTGATTTATAGCGACTAGACTATACTGTCAGTATGTCCAGATACAGTAAGTTCTACATTTGGCTTTTTCATGTTATCCTATGAAATTTGGGGGGGGGGGGTGCCTGCCTATCATTA